TTCACAGTCAACAAGATAGCCTGGAGAATAGTTTGTTGTAATTTTTGTTAAAAATAGCAACTAATGAATTCATAGATAAAGAAATTAGCTGTGAGTATTGTAAATTCTCACGCTCGTGTATTACAAGTAATTCTTTTTTTTTTAATTCGAAGTGTTAAGTTTTTAAGTAGCTGCTGATTTCAGTTGAATTTATCTAATATCATCCCTAGCTGCATTTTTTATTATAGTTATACATTATAGCTTATTTTTAAAATATTTAGCATTACTTTATTGTTATTTTGTTAAAAGAGCATGTGTATGTTTTTTAAGTTTTAACACTTACATATAAGTTTTATGACGTATGCATTTTTCAGTTGGGAGGTTAGTTTAGTTTTGGAAATTGGTTGATCTTAATTTTTTTTAAGGAAGTGAAAGTTGTCTTGTAATTCATATAATTTAAATTTTTTTTCCGAAGTTTCAATTTTCATAAGTTTAACCGATCGTGTTGAATAGTTTACTATAAATTTTCTTGTATCTATTTGCATGAATGCAAACCTACCAACATTAATAGACTTGCACAAAAATTCAAAGAGTAGTATCATTTAACTGTATATACATTTTCGCAAATTTTGTAAATTGTATTTTACGTTTTTTTAATAATTTTAAGGTAGCTTTCTCTCGCTCATTAGTTTTACTTAGCAAATGGTTGCATAGAATGTGAGTAGTATTTGTTGCAGTAGTAAAATGGCTGTTATGGCTTTTCAGTCCATTAGCTGGAGTAATTTTAAGTCACTAGAAATCAACTTTGTATTTTTGTATTCGATTTTTTTCTTATGTTCTTGTTTATGGTTATGGGTAGGGAAGTTTTTGTTTGCAAATTTTAAGTACTCGTAGTTAGCATTACCTACATTGATCTTCACTTTGAATTGTCATTCTACGTTTACATTTTTTTTAGATCATAACTACAAATTTTGTCTACCTACTTGCACTATTCAATCTCTAATATGACTTAAGACATGCCGTTGAAAAGTAAAAGCACCTTTGTTGCAAACTCTTGTGGCTCAAGTGCTGAGCGCATATTACCATAATGTTACTTGAAGTGAAATTATGTACCGTTAGCGCATTATTCTACATACAGTTGAATGCCTAGCAGACTCTTCAAATTCACATCAGTTACACTTAATTTTGTATGCAGTTTATAACATCAAGTTGCCATGGTTATCGCGCCAATAATATCAGCGCCGTATGTCAAACAAGACGCCAACCACCCACCACTGATTAACTGTGTGTATGTATATGCATATTTAGTCATTCATTCAGTCAGTCGGCAGCTTTTGCATACATTTACCACTTTCTTACTTTCCTGCCCACACGAAATGAGCGCCGCGCTTATCTCTCACTAACGCTGATGATGATTGAGTGAGTAACAGCTGATTATTGGCTGCTATTACAGGTGAACCTCTCTCACTCAGCAGCATATTTGTCAGATAATGAGGTCACTAACAGTGGCATTACGAGGCATAGCTGACACAACATTTTGTTTTTTTTTTGTTATTAAATCTTTCTCGCATCTGTGTTTGTCTCCCTAATGTTCGTGTGCTCAATACATACTTTCCTTTCGTCTGCTTCATTAAAAATCTATTTGCCCAACCTTGCCATTCGTATTTGACAGCGTGTTTAAATTTCCTTTAGTATTGATTTACATTTAAGGCTTGTGTCATCATCATAAGCTTCATCATCGTATTATCATCTGTGAAGTGAAACATCACCGCATCGATGGCAGCGACGACAGCTCGTTCATTATCGAGTGCACTCTACTCTTCTTCGGTTCTGTGTTTTTCCTTCATACAGTTCTCCACTTCTTTGTTGATTTGTCAATTACAAGGTAACGAGGTAGGCGAATCAGTGGCACAATCCAGTAGGTTCCTTTTTATGCTAAAAGTTATTGTTGAGTGTTTACGTGTCGCATGTCGAAAAACAAATATGTATGGGTTAGATGCTTGATGGGAAACTAACAGATTGTCTTAGTCTGATGAGTGTCATCAAAAACTTCAACAATGTGGTTGGATTTTTGATTGGAGCACGCATGGCAAATTGCTTTTGTTGAATTTGGTTTGTGAAAAGTTTAAGTGATTGATATTAATTGAAACTCTTTGGAAAAGGGTCAGTTAATTGTTCTAAAAGTTTCTTATACAAGCTAGCGCAAAGAAAACTTTTTAGTAATTTGAAATTATTGCGAAAATTTTGATAAATACTTACATAAGTATGTAGTTAAACAATTTTACAGTAAAAGTTTCTACAGCTGTACGTTTCTGGTTGTTGAGGTTAGAGCGACGCGCGGGTAATAGTAGTGGTCCGATTTTCGAGTTGCCTATTTACTTTTTTTTTTTAGTTAAATATTTGTGTATATCCATAGGAAAAGATAGTTGCCTAACATGCGGGTGCGTTATTCTTCGTTTTAGAAATCTTACAAGCATCGTCAACCTAGCATTGATAAATGGTAGTGTAAATACTGGTTTTTACTATGTTCGATTGTAATACAAACCCTGACAAATAGCCTATATAGCCGCACATATACACTACTAAAAACCTATGCTGATGTAAATCAAGCGTTATACTTACGGTGACCATATTAACCAACGTAAAATAAAGGACATTTTTTTCAAAATGATTTGGGAAAAGTACCTTACCCATATCGTAAGTTAAATCAAATATTTACCAGTTAATTATATTATTTAATTGTTCATAGTGCACGACGAAGCCAGCACACAGTGGTTCAAAATTGGAATTTAATAATCATATTCCACCGGAGCCTTAATTTTTCAACCAATATTTACTAGAAACCAAAAAAAAAATATTTATTTGGTGAAAATTTTTTTCAAGATTTCCAATTTTTTGTGTGTGAATTTTATTTTGTTTTTTTTTTTTTTGTTTTGGGAGAACCATACAATTGTTTTCAACTAGTATTTTTATGTAACATTTATTAAGGAGAATACATTTTCTTCAAACTTGCTACTTTTTCTGCATTGTGCACTAAAAAATTTAATATAATCAAATAAGGATTCAGAAATCAAGCTCAACTGGCCTCTTGCAAATATTGTAAAGCTTTCATAAAAAAAATATAAATTAATCAAATTAAGTGAAAAATAAAGGCTCCAGAAATACTAACACTTAATTCCAGTTTTGAACCAATGTGTAGCACGGGGTTTATTGTTCTCTTTCAGTGGAACTGGAAGCTCAGCGTGCAACACCATCCTGGGCGCAACTCTCCCTGTGCTTTATAGATTGTACAAAGATTGCCGATTAAATAGAAACCCTTAAGTGCGAAACAAACTGGGGACATTTTTATTTTTAATATTCTGCGTTTAAAAATTTTACTCTGAAAAATGCAGGTCCAATTTAAAGGACAGTTTAAGAAATAAAGGACAAACGGCGTCCTTTATTTTGAAAAAAATTATAAAGGACAGGGGGTTAAAACAAAGGACTGTCCTTTAATATAAAGGACGGATGGTCACCGTAGTTATACTGTTTGTGCTCGCACCGCATAGTGAAAACCAGCATTTAGTTCAATAACTAAGCCATAACAGTTTTAGGTTGCAGTGAACGATCCGTTTGATTTTCAGCCATTATTTTCGTTTGCTACCAATTCTTAATCTTCATTTTACAATGACAGGTACACATTAGAAAATCTAAACACATTACATTTTCAGAGTATTTTATCTTCCCTTGAAAAACATTCATATCAATTTATTTTATAAAAATATGAACGAAAAATATTTTATGTCACTAAATGTGTTCGAAAAAATAAATGAAAACCCTGACACATTTATAAATTTTGTAGAAAATATTTTTACTTTTTGTATAACTTCTTTTTGTTTTATTTTTTACTTTTAACAAACTAGCATACATATCTAAAAAATTCGTTACTCATACATATGTCACATAAAATATACCATAAACACATATGTATGTATGTACATATGTATGAATTATAAAATATTTATGTTTAAACTAATACACATTAAAGTACACACATACAATATAAATTGTTTGCAAATACAATACAAGTTTCAATTTCTTTTATACAATTAATAAAATCGATGTTCTTATGTGTTTTTTTTTTCGCTAGGACATACACATTTATTGGCTGGCTTTTTGTTTTGTTATTTTTATAAATTTATATATTTTTGACGAATAAACTGGGATACTTTTTGCGCTAGATAAAACTGAGTTTATTAATGTGAAATTTGTGTTAAGAAAAAAAGTTTGCTTTTAATTTTGAACCAATAAAAAAAATGTGCCTTTGAATGTTTGTATAGTTAAGTAGAAGTTGAAACCAATTGAACAAGATTTGATTTTTTTTGAAAGCTTACAAAACTTACAAAGGAATTCTACAAATTTTATTCCCCAAAATCTTTAGTTAAATGGCGTTAGAGCTGTGTGCTTGATAGATAGTCGATTAAGTACCGTTTTCACGGATAAAAAAAAAATTAAAAGGTGTGCCAAACGGTACACTAAATTTAATTTTGAATTAAAATTTAATTTTGAATAAAAACTCAATACATTGCCAATTTCCCAAATATCGAACAACGTGAAAGGACCTGCCAAAAATTTAAAAACAATTTTTAAATTGAGGCTATTACTTTATTCATCGTAGGTTCGATATTCATGAAATCTACGAAAATTTTTTCACTGAATTCGAATTGCTAAAATACACGCAAATCGACCTACGATGAATTCGGCAACGGACTCTTAAACATATTTTTTCTTCCTACACTGTTGAAAATTATCGATAACATATTATTTTGTTCAAGATTTCTTCATTATACTTAATAAATCCATCAAATATGACACCTAATATAATAATACATGATTGCTTAGGCAGCTACGAGGGAATTTTAACCGAGTTGAGTGTTCCTTTAGGAGTCGTTTCGAATAAAACACAGCAGTAGTTAGCTAAACATTTTACGCATATACATACATAAATAAAATTTCCACATATTTGCTATTTTATACATAGTACATATTTTTTATTTATATTTTTCTTTGCGTCAGCTGATTTATTTTGATATTTTACATGCATATACTATACATATATGTATATATTTCATTGACTGCTTTACATCGGCAGCATTTTAAAGTAAATAATTTCCCTCGATGAATGTTTTATTGTGGTATTCTTGTGTTAGTTTGTGTTGCTTTGTTGCTCGCAATTTAATTTAATTTTCGATCCTTTTTTCTGACTTTTTGCAATTTGTTATTTATTTAAATATAATAATATTTTACTTTTAATCGCATTATTGTGATTGTTATTTTTCAATTAACTATTTTTTCTTGTATATTATTTGTGTTCGCTTATTGGTGTACCACAAGCGATTAAAAAGTGTGGCTTCGTGATTTAATTTTTTGGAATTTATTGGCTTTTTAACCATTTATGCGCTGACTTTTCTATTTTCCATTTAACTGCTATCAAAATTTTTGCTTACTTTCATAAGTCTTAAATATTTTTAACATTAAAAGTTAAGTGTTTTTCATTCCATACCACTTTCACCTTTTTTTGTTTTACAAATTAGCTAATTTTGTTGTTACTGCTACGAGTATTGTGTGCGGAAAAAAACTTATTGTTCATCCTCTGGTGGCATTTTGGCCAAAGTTAGCAGTATCATTGTGAGTTCTTTACGAGAGATTTTACCATCTTTGTCATAGCCCACACCACGCAGTATGGTCTCCTCGAAGGCTTTCAAATCTTGAGCATCGTAGTCATCCTGTGATGAAAGAAAGACAAAAAAAAAGAAAATTAGCTTGTCATTTAAGCACAACAATTGGTTTTGACAACTAAGCAAAGTCATTATTCATGTTCGTTTAAATTTCTGATCACTTGTTAGCTTATAAGGCGATTTTACAGGCAACTTTTAGTTGAAAGCAACATTCGCTGTTCTTTC